TGCTCTCGTGCGCACACACAGGCGCGCGCATATAGACAGAGGATAGATGCGCTCGTGCGCACACACAGGCGCGCTATAGACAGACAGACGGACAGGCGCGCTCGTGCGCACACACAGGCGCGCTATAGACAGACAGACGGACAGGCGCGCTCGTGCGCACACACAGGCGCGCTATAGACAGACAGACGGACAGGCGCGCTCGTGCGCGCACACAGGCGCGCTATAGACAGACAGACGGACAGGCGCAGCCAGTTGCACACACAGGCGCGCTATAGACAGACAGACAGACGGACAGGCGCGCTCGTGCGCACACACAGGCGCGCGCATTTAGACAGACGATAGATGCGCTCATGCGCACACACAGGCGCGCGCACATACACAGACGCGCTCGTGCGCACACACAGGCGCGCACACATACACAGACGCGCTCGTGCACACACACAGACGCGCTCGTGCACACACACAGACGCGCTCGTGCACACACACAGGCGCGCGCATACAGACAGACGCGCTCGTGCGCTCACACAGGCGCGCGCATATACACAGACGCGCTCGTGCGCTCACACAGTCGCGCGCATACAGACAGAGGGAGATTTCAGAACTTTCTTGGCTCTTGGCCTAAGACCAAAAGAGGAAGAAAGATGTTAAGTAAAACAAAACACGTTCCCAACACAGAGAGAGCGTGCAAGAGAGAGACAGAGACAGACAGACAGATAGACAGACAGACAGACAGACAGTAGATGACAGAAAGAGCACTCAGACCCTTCTTGGCTCTTGACCTGACTCCAAAAGAAAGGGAGAAAGATCTTAAACACAAATTTTGCGCCATGTACACGCGCTGGCGCGCACAGGCCGGCCGGCTCCCACGGATGCCTTGGTTTCCCAATGCTCTGCGAGCATTTGTCTCCATCCTCCCCCATCTCTGGCCGCTGACAGGCTCTCTTGTGTTTGGTCCCTGGGAGGGCTCGGAGCCGGACACAGCTCAAATACAGAAGAGTGTCTGTGAGGCAGGCACACGAGAAAGGGAAAGGAAAAGTTGACAAGGCGCCCGGCCCCCGCAGGACGGGCCTAGACATGCTGGGCGCTCCCACCCCACCCTTGGCTCCTCCTTGGGAAAAGAGAAGAGGGGATGCCAGTCTCCGAGGTTGCTCTGCACCCGCAGGGAATCAAGTGGCCCAACTCCAAACTTGGGCTTTGTGGAGGGGGAGTAAGGGAGGGAAAAAACATGTAAGTAACCTTCTAGGTCCAAGTGGAAGAAGACACTGGAAATCGAGACACTGAATTCAGGTCCCGGTGCAGGGAGGGCTGAGTCCATCTTGTGGATGCTGCTGGCTCCATGGTTCCAACCCGGAGGCTGTGGAGGACTGCCAGGGGTTCTGACCTCAGCTATTTCTCACCCCAGGGTGAAGGTGGGACCAGACCCGCCCTTCCCTGGCTTCCTATAAGGGCACAGGACCTGGGACTGCCAGGTCACACACCATGAGGCTGTCTAGAAGGCACAGGACCTTCCTGCTGGCTTTCACACTGCTCTGCACCCTGTTGGGTCTCGGTAAGTGCCAACGGGACCTGGCCTCCTTCCTGGTATCTCAGAGGGCATTGAGCAAGGTCCTCAAGAGAGGGGGGTGGGTGTCCAGATTCATGAAGGATGCAGAGACTAAGGAGGAGAAAGCCTGGGTCTGACAAGGTTTGGTGGGCCCCAGGAAGGATCTCAAAACACGGCATCTGAATTCTGGGAAATCAGATGAGAGCTGAGCTTCAGAGAAAATTCTTTAAAATGTAACGAATTAGTAAGGACAGAGGTGTGTCCCTTTCTCCCTGGACTTAGAGGAATTCAGGCCCTCAGCACTCCCAAGCCAGCGCCACTGTCGCTAGGACCAAGGTGGCTGGGTTCCAACCCCGTCAGGGAGGAATTCATGCCACTGATCCCTCTGGGCCTCAGTCTCCCGCTTTGACATAGGACACAGACCCCTGCCTGAGCTACCAGGTACCTTCTTCAGGAAGCCGAGTTCCACACCCCAAGAAACAAAGGGACCTGAAATCTTACAAAAGCCCCATAGAAACCTCTGAAACCCCCCCTCCCTGCCTCTGAGCTTGCTCATAGGACCCTGGCGTCCAAAGTCCCCGAGCCTTGTAATTATTAAGTAAAACAGGCTCTGCGGTGGAGTCATTTCCCGCCCTAGAAGCCACTTCGCGGGCATCGCCAGACAATTCCTGGACAGTCCTCAGTGCCCAACCCCGAAAGATCAGGAAGACCCTAGTGCCTCCCCGCAAGTCATCTCTCCGTCCAAACCATGGTCTGCAGACCACCCTAGCCAGCACAGCGCACCCTGCCCTCTTGCTCGCCTCGCTGCAGGGTGCTCTCTGAGCTGCGAAGTGTGCAAGAGTTCGGGACACACATGCAGCGGGAAAATGAAGACCTGCGAAGCCGGCAAAGACGCATGCGTGGTTCTCGTGGGCGAGTCCAGCACAAGTAGGAGGGTGTGGCTTCAGCCAAGAGGGTGGGGTACCTTCGCGGGATGGTCACCGGGAGGAAAATCAGAGGTGGGAGAGACGCGTGGGTGCTGCACAAAACGCTGTGGGCAGAGATTCTGAGACCCAGGCTGTGCTGAAAGAAAGGCAGGGGGAGGATGGAGAGATGAACCAGCTGTCAAGAGCACCGGCTGCTTTTTTCGAGACAGGGTTTCTCTGTGTAGCTTTGGAGCCTATCCTGGAAACAGCTCTTGTAGA